TTTTTTGCTTACCCCGTGAATGTCTTACCCTATCGTTATAAACATTACCTTGACAGCTGTTTATCCTTTGTATCCAGTAGACCAGTGATAGACATTTGAATTTTTACTTATTTTTCATTTGTAATACACAGTGCAAGAATGTATGTAATTTTGGCACACACGGGTGTTTCTCTAGGAAGGATCGTGAAGAGGCGTTTAGTGAGCAGGGTGAGTGCATTTTGGTTCTGATTGTGCTGTTCTTCCCCCACTCCAGGTGCCTTCAGGACAATAACTGGGACTATACCATATCTGCCCAGGCCTTTACTCATCTCAAGGTAAGTTTCGGGAATTTGACAGCAAAAAGACCAGGGATCTCTGGGCCTTGAGAGGGTCAAGCCAGCCGGGGGGGGATGGGGGAAAGGGTTGGCTCTATTGACCTTTTCTTTTTTCCTAAGGCCAAGGGTGAGATCCCAGAAGTGGCGTTTATGAAGTGATCCGTAGACCTGCCCCAGAAGAAGCCCTTGTAAAATAGCCCTTGGATATTGATGTCTTGTCGTGGCTGTTGTCTCCTCCTCTCTGGCCCCAAGGCCACCCCGTGACTGTGACGGAAGAGGAAGGGCTGCTGGATCCCTCTCCTCACCTGCCTTCTGGAAGACTTCTGGAAGATTGAGCCTCACTGGTGCCAGGAAGCCAAAGCTTACTTTGTAGAACTGACACTAAACTCCCCGAAGGACTTAGGTGCTTTGTGTACTTAACCCCAGAACCCGCCCTACTTTTTAAGATAAAAGAGTGATATTGTATTTTGTGTCCCGTGTGCTACATTGTTTTTGCCTCGCCCCCTGCCCGCAGTAGGGGGCCAGGGCGGGGCCGATCCGGTGCGAGGCAGAAGCCGGTAAGCTCGGGGGTGGGGCTGCCGGCCGGAAGTCCCTCCCCGGAAGCGGCGCCGCGCAGATTCATGGCGGCACTGGGGAGGCGGTGGCCCGCGCGGGTGTTACTCGCACTGCGGCCCCTGCACGACGCGGCTCCGCCTCGGGATGTCCTGCTCTTCCAGCATGAACGGGGCCGCTTCTTCGCCGTCCTCGGGCTGTTCTGCGCCGGCCAGGGCGTCTTCTGGGCCTCCCTGGCCGTGGCAGCCTTGGCCCGACCCCCAGCCCGCGCGCTGCCTCTAGACGCAGAGCCCGCAGACCGCGGCCGCCCGGACCTGCGCTCCGCTCTCTGGCGCTACGGCCTGGCCATCGGCTGCGGTGCCATCGGTAAGGTGTGGGCTGGCCTCCCCACCACGGGGACGTGGGGCGGCTGGACAGGACCCTCCCTGCCCCCCAAGGACAGTGCGGGGCTCCCGACCTGGAGGCCCCCCCAGCCAAGCCCTCGGACAGGCCTGGGGTACTGCGAGCTTGAACAGTTACACCGCTCTGGACCCGTCTCCTTGTCCTTAAAGCAGGGGTGTACATGAAGGCTGTTGGGGAGGAAGGATGAACACGAGAGTCGGGTAGAAGAACTCGGTAAATGTGACTGTCATGGCTGAAAGGGTCCGTAGACAAAAGGACGAGACTGATACAAAGCGAAGGTCAAGCAAAGCTTTATTTCGTGCCAAGCATCGCGAATCAAACTGACCGGCCAGGGCCGTCTCTTGCAAAGAGGCGACCCCTCCCAGCCTCACAGACTAACTTTTATAAAGACCGCGTGGTCGAGCCTGGCCACACACAGGTGGCCAACTGAATTACAATTCACCCTATAGTAGCCATCTGAACTAGCCTATCACTCTGGTCAGGATTGGCGCCCAAAAGGCAGGGCCCGCATTCTTGGGTGGTTAGGGAGGTGCTTTCCTGATTGGATGTCTCCACCTGGCTTGGCTCATCCTTGGCGGGTAGGGAGGTGATACGTGCGCTTTCCCTTGATTGGACGTTTCCACCTGGCCGGACACGTCCCTGTATCTGAACTCCATTATGTCTGCCCAGCCTGACATGTCCTGGTATCTGAGCTCCGTTATGGGGACTATTTGGCCGTATTTCACCAGTTCTGTTTCTAAGCGCTTTCCTCTTGTGGGGAAGGGGCAGGTTCAATCTAAGTTTACTGCATAAACAACAAAATGGCTCGCTCTGGCTAAGTAGGCCCTTACAATGGCAACTTTTTTAAATTCAGGGACACTGTTAAGGTTGCTGCTTGGCTCTTCAGCAGAAATCCCTCACCCCGAACATTGGTCTTCCTGCAGGTACCCTGGTACTCGGCGCTGGTCTTCTCTTCTCCCTCCGTTCTGTGCGTTCGGTGATGCTGCGGGCTGGAGGAAAGCAGGTGACCCTCACCACTCATGCCCCCTTTGGCTTGGGTGCTCACTTCACCGTCCCTCTGAACCAGGTATCCTGCGTGGCCTACCGTGGTGAAGTCCCTGCTATGCTGCCTCTGAAGATCAAAGGCCGGCGCTTCTACTTCCTCTTAGACAAAGCTGGACACTTCCCCAACACAAAACTCTTTGACAATACTGTGGGTGCCTACCGCAGCTTGTGAAGAAACCATTGTGGGTAGCTCACCCCTCCCAGAGGGGACTAAAAACTGAACCTTAGAGATAGGGTGACAATCAGGGTCACGACACAAGGGCGCCCAAGGTTCATGAACAGCAAATAAAAGAGGAGTCATCAAGAGGGCAACTGACAGAACCTCTGCCTTTTGTTACATGTCTGTTGAGCTCTGTCCTCCCGTCCACCTGTCTACAGTGCTTTAACACCAAGAACTCAGTACCAAGAGGAAGGAAGAAAGTAATATAATATTCTGTTACAAAAAGAGCTGTAGGAAGAGAGGTGGGGGTGGGGGCTATCATCATGTTTCCCTCGTGGAGGGAAAACAGGCTCCCAGCATAAACAGGGCCAGGAGGGGACAGCAGGATTGTAGGCACTTGGGCAGAGTCTTTGGCTGCAGGAAGCATTCTTTGGTTCCTCTTCAGGAATGAGAAGGGCGTGGCCCAACCAGAGCATCTGTCTCAGAGCTCCACTCAGGGTCGCCCCGCTCCAGAGGCCGGTATGGGGTGGCTTCGGACTTCCACTGCACCACCTGAAGCACCAAGACCACACACCACAATACCAGATTCACCCAAGAAGAGGTCTGTGGGAAACAGGAACAGGAGTGTGAGGAGTGTGAGGAGTGTGGCCATCTCAAATCCAGTCCCACCCACGAACCACCATTCTCTGTTCGCTGTCAGGCTGAAAGCCCTTCAGCCCCTCACAGCCTCTCACTGGAAAGCACCCTTACAACTACAGATGCTTATAGGAATCTGGGAATCCCTGGGTTTCGAACCAGTCTTTCATATCCCGGGACCTCACTTCAGCATTGTGTAGGTTGGAGTAAAACTGCAGGGCGGTTCCAGGGGGTGTCCACGGAATTTTCTGGGCTTCAGAGCAGCTGCGAGGTCAGAGAGACGGTGGTGAGAAAGGGCAGAACATACCCGACACTCCCATGCCCAGGTGCCCTTCAGGATGGGAGCAACTGACAGGGACAGAGAGGGAGTTACAGGCTCCCCTCTGTGGACGCAAGGCAGTCAGCCCCAGCCAGGGTCCCCTCCCTCTCCCGTTACCTAATTGTAATGTTCAGGGAGACGATGGATTTGCAGAGAGAACGGGTGCCAAATCGAAGGATACAGGCAGCCACTAAGACCAGGAAGATGGCTATAGCGGAGATGACCAGTGCTATGCAGAGCCCTATAGGGCCTCTATGAGGAGGTAGAGAACCAGCTTTGTGGGTGAGATGGGACTTCTCCCAGCTCAAACCCCGGCCCTCAGGGTAGGGCAATCACCTGTGGGAGTCCTCGATGCAGCTGCTGTAGACCCAGAAGAGCAGAAGCAGGAGACAGTAGAGGGCCAGGAGGCCAGAGACCCCAGCCACAAAGTAGCAGAGGGACGGGGCCGAGGGCTGGCCTAAGGCCAGGGAGGAGCCATTCAGGGTGGCCACACCATACAGGGGACAGCGGCCACTGAAGGAGCCCTGTGAAGAGAAGCTGCTGAGATGTCTGGTTAGCGCCTCAGCACAGGCTCATAGCAAGTGTGAGGGATAATCTAGGAGAGGGCCACCCTAGGAAGTTCTAGATGCACTGTCAGTTCCTGTTTCTGGGCCAGTAGTGTGGAGAGGGCCTGCTGGGGAAGTCAAACCTGCTGTGGCCAGAAGGATCAGGAAATAGACGGTGGTTATAAAGGACAGTGAGCTCCGGAGATGCCTCACAAGTTCTGGTCTCCCCTCTGCAGAAATCCTAAAGTAAAACCAGGACTTGTGTAACCTTCAACTATCTCCGATGTTTTTTCATCCGTTAAAAAAAAACACCACCTAATAGTGCCTACTTCATATTCATAGGGTTCCATGCCCCTGGGTCTACGAAGACGACTGCCTGGGTGGGAAAACCCTTGGGCTTTCGGTGGGGGTTTTCTACATGGCTGTTTTGTCATTCACACACACTGGACTGCAATCCTGCGCTAGCCCGGCATCTCCACCACCCTAGGTTTTATTTCCTAGCGGAGCCCGGCACAACAGTGTCTGATTTAAAGGATGAAGGCAGGGCCTGGACCGAATTCTGCTGCAGAACTAGGCTAAGGTTATACAGCCGGAGCCACCAGGCCGGGCTATGTCTGGTGCTGTCAGTCAATCCTGAAGACTCGTCCTTGCGGCAAGGAAACGGATGAGAAGCAGAACTCCTGCCGGAGAGGCCACAGAGCCCGATCGGCGCCCGCCGGGCCTCACGCAGCCCACCGACTCCGAAGAGCAGCACGACGGGACCGGGCCGGCCCGGACAGCAGCACCAGCATCCCACCCCACCTCCCCGACACCCAGGCCGGCCCGGCCCCGCCCCGCACCTGGGTCCGGGTCAGCGTCGCGGCCGCCACTGCTCCGCACAGGAAGGCGGCGGTGAAGAGCAAGAGCTCGAGGCGCTGCAGCCAGGGCAGCGCCATGGCGCCCCCGCCATCAGGAAGCCAACCGCCCAAGCCCCGCCTCATCCGGCGCGGCACGCGAGCGCGGAGACGTCACTTCCGACGCAGGGCTTTATTTACAGAGGAGGGGGTGGGAACGCGCCGCTTCACAGCGGAAGGTACAGCGAGTAGTCTGAGAGCGCCCAGCGGCGGGCCGGGCGGCCTGTGCGGCCGATCATGGGCAGCTTCTGCACATAGCGCGAGGCCGGGCTGGGCCCGTATGGCGCGGGGAAGGCCGTCTGGAAGAGGCGCCCGCGGCACCGCCTCCCGGCCTGCCGCCCGGCAATGATGAAGCGAAAGTGGGGGGCGCCGCGCGGGGCGAAGCGGCTCTTCTGGAAGACGTCGCGGGTGCCGGCGCCGGGCCCCTGCTGCCGGGGCGCCCCCCCGCGCCCGGTGCATGCGCGGCAGCGGCCGGCTCTCGGAGGCGGCGGGCGCAGAGGCTGCCGCGGGGCCGCCGCCGCGGGGGCTCTCGTCGCCCTGCGGGCTGACCATGGCGTTGGCCGTCAACTGCGGCATCTTGCGCACCGAGTCCGGAGCGGCCGCCGGCTCCTTCTTGTCCCCGGGCGGCCGCGGAGTGCTGGGTGCGGGCTGACCGGTGCCAAAGCGGGTGGCCAAGCTGTCCCCGAAGAAGGCGTACAGCTCCCGGTAGATGTCCGCCAGGGTCACCGATGGGGAAGGGTCCTCCGGCCCCGCGCCTCCTGGCGGCAGCGGGAGGACAGACCCAAAGCCTGGCTCCGCGCTGCCCCCGGAGGGAGACTCCTGCAGAAGGAGGCTGTCCCAGGGGAGATCATCGGAGCCCCGGCACCCCCTGCCGCTTGGGCCGCTCTTGTTGGGCTCTGCTGCCTGGGCCTTCATCTTCAGCAGTCGCTCCACAGCCACCTGCAGGAGCAGAGGAACCAGGATAGGCAAGAACTAGGAGGAACCAGGGCCCATTAAGTTTTCCAAAGTAAGGCAGGTGAGCGAGCTGCTGAGCTCAAGCAGGGAAGAAGGGAGGCTGGAAGGGGCAGGCACTCACCAGAATGGCTCCATAAACCTTGTGCCCATCTGCTTTAACCTGGGCGTTAGAGACGGAATAATCATCTAGCACAGCCTGCAGATTTGTCCAGTAAGTGGACAGGTGTGGGTACAGGACTCGTTCCACCGCCTGGGAGAGAAGGAACACAGTAGGCACCTCTTTGTTGCTTATGGCCTCTCAAGTACCCTTTCCCATGGAAGACCTGCTTTCTATCTCCGATATGAAATTCTTAGCCTGGCATATTCAACCAGCATTTATTTGGAACCCACTCTATACCCAAACCTTTGCTAAGCACTGGCGATAAAGGTCAGGTACAAAGACAATATAAAGTGACCCAACTATCACTGACCTGTATGACAGGGGCTAAGAGGGCGTGAGTAATGCCCAGGGCTAGAAACAGATTTAATTTGCCAACTATTACCCTATACGCTCAGTAGGCAACTACTATTCTTGCTGAGATGTAAACTGGGACTCAGTTCAAACCACCTGCCCCAAAACAAACTGATCAGAGACCTGGTCTCTGATTATGTATCAAGTTAAGACTTCACAGAGGTGACCTCCGTTATGCACTTTGCTGGGTGGGAGTTCTCCGGCCGGTCATCCACAGCCTGAAGATTTGACAATGTTAACAAATGGGCAAGTTCCTCGAGAAATAGAACTTACTGCTGACTCAGCTATTAAAAACTTGAGTAATTCTCTAACCACAGTAGGTACCTAACCACAAATAAAATCATTGCTAAAATTGAGTCTACAGATATTCAAGGAAAAGAGCATCTCAATCTCACAAGAACAAACAAGAAATGCTCCCACCATGCCTCAGTCTATGAAGTCAGTGTAACCCTGATAATAAAACTCTACAAGGACAGTACAAAAGAAGAAACTTGTTATTGATTTCACTCCTGAAAACAGAAAAAAATTAAAATTTAGTAAGCCCGAAAGTTTACAAAAAATGCCTTATATTCCAATAAAAGATTTAGGGTTTTTTTTTTTTAAATCTTTACTATATTGAGTCTATACACAAAAATGTAATGATGGTTTACTATTAAAAATCCATGGGGTGCTTGGGTGGCTCAGTGGGTTAAGCCTCTGCCTTCGGCTCAGGTCATGATCCCAGGGTCCTGGGATCAAGCCCCATCTGGCTCTCTGCTCAGCAGGGAGCCTGCTTCCTCCTTTCTCTCTGCCTGCCTCTCTGCCTACTTGTGATCTCTGTCTGTCAAATAAATAAATAAAATCTTTAAAAAAAAAAATCCATAAACGGGAGCCTAGGTGGCTTAGTCGGTTGGGCTCTTCGTTTCCACTTGGTGATCTTGGGGTCATGTAGCGCAGGGTCTGCTTGAGTCGGCTTGTCCCTCCCCTACCCCCTCCCCCTGCCCTGCTCTCGAGTGTGCAAGTGTTCTCTCTAAATAAGTTTTCTTTTTAAATCCATAAATACAATTAATCTCATTAACAGATAAAATCACAAAAACCTTAGGATCAATCAAAAAAATACAGAAAAAGCATTTTGTAAAAGTTAAACATAAATAATTAAATCAAGAATATAAAGCAGTATGGGGCGCCTGGGTGGCTCAGTGGGTTAAAGCCTCTGCCTTCGGCTCAGGTCATGATCCCAGAGTCCTGGGATCGAGCCCCACATCGGGCTCTCTGCTCAACGGGGAGCCTGCTTCCTCCTCTCCCTCTCTCTGCCTGCCTCTCTGCCTACTTGTGATCTCTGTCTGTCAAATAAATAACTAAATAAAATCTTTAAAAAAGAATATAAAGCAGTATGAACTAATTTATCCGAGAAAGGTTACCAGTAAACACAAGGTAAATGTCAGCCTAAATGGGAAGGATATTAGCACTTCTCTCAAAATTGGAAATGACATGGGTGCCTGGGTGGCTCAGTGGGTTGGGCCTCTGCCTTCCGCTCCGGTCGTGATCTCAGGGTTCTGGGATCGAGTCCCACATCGGGCTCTCTGCTCCGCAGGGAGCTTGCTTCCTCCTCTCTCTCTCTGCCTGCCTTTCTGCCTACTTGTGATCTCTGTCTGTCAAATAAATAAATAAAATCTTTAAAAAAAAAAATTGGAAATGACATGGGGCACCTGAGTGGCTCAGTCGGTTAGGTGTCTGCCTTCAGCTCAGGTCATGATCCCGGGGTCCTGGGATCCAGTCCCGCATTGGCTCCCTGGGCTCAAGGGGGACCCTGCTTCTCCCTCTCCTCTGTGCGCATGCTCTCTGTCACTATCTCTTTGTGTCTCTCTCAAATAAATAAAATCTTAAAAAAAAAAAAATTAGAAATGACACAAGGATGCCCCCTATCTTTATATGTAAAATGATACTAGCAGTCCTAGCAATAAAACAGAAAGAAATTAAAGGCAATAGCTTTAGAAAAGATGAAATAAAGCTATCATTATATTTACCATATGATCCACATTAAAAACCCGAAAAAGTGAGGCACCTGGCTGGCTCAGTGGGTAGTGTGTGCCACTCTTGATCTTGGGGTCATGAGTTCCCCATGGTGGGTACAGAGATTACTAAAAATAAATAAGCTTAAAAAAATACTCAGTACAAGAGGAATTGAGGGATAGTTCCTTAACATGATTAGCACAGTATGGGCAGGGATTCATGAAGTGGAGATATATTAGTACTTGCCACGTAGGACTTTTTTTTTTTTTATAAAAGATTTTATTTATTTATTTGACAGAGAGATCACAAGTAGACAGAGAGGCAGGCAGAGAGTGAGAGGGAAGCAGGCTCCCCGCTGAGCAGAGAGCCCGATGCGGGGCTCGATCCCAGGACCCCCGGGATCATGACCTGAGCCGAAGGCAGAGGCTTGAACTCACTGAGCCAGCCAGGCGCCCCCACGTAGGACTTTTGAAAGCATAAGACACTGATCTACAGAAAATCATGCTACCAACTAGCCTGGCTTCAGGCAAGAACTCTACACATGGAAACGGCAAGCATAGACCATTTTTATGAGAACAGACACATAAATACCACCGTTCTATTTACAAATGGGAGCTCTTATGGCTGTGTCTGTGGGGAAAGGCCAGGGTCCTCACCTTCCAGCCAAGGGCATGCAGCCCCACCACAGCCCCGTAATGAGAGCAGAGAGGCCGCACCGGGTCTGCCAAGACCTTCTGCAGGGAGAGCAGGATCTGCTGATAAAGGCCGCTCACCAGGTCCCCGTGGGTCCTACGGGCGCAGCATTGGGTCAGGGAGGAGAACGAGGCATGGGGCCAGCCAACTGGACTCAAGTCAGGGCACACAGAGAAAATGGCGGTGGCCTGGCACACTGAGGTAAGCAAACAAGGTGGCTCGTTGTTCAGGGACCGAAGACTACCCAAGGGGCTGAAGGACCAAGCCCTTGGCGCAGTCGCCGTCCGCTTCCACAACCCCGGCGCGCCACAGTGCAGCGACCGGAAAGCTCTAATGCAGAGAGGCTCCCTGACCTCATGACATAGGGCCTTGAAGCCAAACATTTCCACCCCCTCCCACCACAACCCCCTCAGCACTGTGGCAGCCCCCCTCTGTTGGGCTAGGCCCAGTGGCTACCAGAAGATGTGGCTGAGCAGGAGGGCGGCGCCATCCCGAAGAGTCCAGTGGTCATTCAGAGGGTTGATGGAGGCAGCCAGCGGCTCTAGGACGCAGTAGAGGACGCTGCCCACCAGGGAGCGAACGTATGGCCCCAAGCACAAGTGTGGGTTCCGAACCAGGCTCCGGGCCACTTGCAGGAGCCGGTGCAGCTGCTCCAGGTCGTGGCTGACAGATTTCACCTGTTTGCAGAAGACGCCGGCTGAGGGGCACACGAGGGGGCAGGGAGGGGGCGGCGGCTCTGTGGGCACCCGCCACCAGCCCTACCCGGGGCTGGGTCACCTCCCCGGCCTGCTCACTCACCCCACTGACCACATAGACAAAGTAAGGCAGGAGGGCCGCTATCTTGGAGTTAGTCTGCAGGTCCTGGAGAGCAATCTGAAAAGGAAGGAGCCAAACTGCCCTGGATCCACCAGCCCCAGGGAAAAACCGACAGTTTTTAAAGGACAGCTGAGTATCTCTAAAGTAAAATTGTAAACATTCTCACTCTTTGATTCAGCAACTGTATTTCTGTAAATGTAACCCACCGTAAGAAATAACCACTCATGGGACCCCTGGGCAGCTCAGTCGGTTGGGCGCCTGCCTTTAACTCAGGTCATGATCCCAGGGTCCTGGAATCGAGTCCCGCATCAGGCTCCCTGCTCAGTGGGGAGTCTGCTTCTCGCTCTGCCTGCTACTCCCCCTGCTTCTTCCCTCTCTCTCTTTCAGACCAGTAAATGAATGAAATCTTTAAAAAAAAAAAAAAAGAAAGAAAGAAATACCCACTGACAAACATACCCACTCCTACCCATCTGTGACAACACGAAACTGAATACAATGTTAAGTTCTAACACATTTTTTAAAAAAATATTATTTGTGCTTTCTTTTTTTAAGATTTTATTTACTTATTTGACAGAGAGAGATCACAAGTAGGCAGAGAGGCAGGCAGAGAGAGAGGGGGGAAGCAGGCCCCCTACCGAGCAGAGAGCCAGATGCAGGACTCGATCCCAGGACCCTGAAATCATGACCTGAGCCGAAGGCAGAGGCTTAACCCACTGAGCCACCCAGGTGCCCCTGTCTAACACATTTTTAATGGAGAAAAGCAGCTATTCTAAAACCAGATGTTTTGGTTTATACTAGAGTAATCACAGTTAAAACATAGGGGAAAAAAGGTAGGCGCTTCTATTAGAGACCCTCACTTTCCAGTTTGTATGCTTTCATTTTACAATACTTCTGTAATGAAATGCTGGTCTTACTTTTGTAGCAGAAAGAAAGTTAAGTAAATGAGAAAAACTGTCCTAGGCGTGAATCTCGGCTACCTGTGACCCCCAGACTCTTCTGGATAAAGGTCCTCAGCAGGTATCACGAAGGCAGACAACATGCTGGCAAGGCAGGTGCTCAACTCCCAGGCCCTCCATCCAGCCACCTGCCCTGCTCCTGGGGAACCAGAGCCGTGCTTCTGAGGCAGGAATGTACGGTAGCGACATTCCCAATTTTGCCGTGGGAGTGGCAGCAACAGCCAGACACGTGGGGAAGTGGGGGATGTAAGCCCTCTAGGAGAGGCCACATGCGTGAGCAGACCACCAAACCAGTGCTGTCCTGATTCTGGACAGAAGGGGACTGACCACAGGTCGCATCCCGCAGGCCCTGAGGAGTCCCAGAGGCTAAAGCGGCAGGGTCTCTGAGCCGGCCGGGCACCCTGACCTGACTGCCTCTACCTCCCATCTCTCCCTCTCAAGTCCAGGCAAATGAAAGCTGCCATGTGCCTGTCCCCTTCCCCCCGCCCCGTGGCCGCAGGTCAATACTCACCCTAAAGCGTAGGTTCTGGAATTAAAGGGTGGGGGTACTGACCACGTGAGCCCCCTAAATGCCCCAGCTGAGTTGCTGGCTCCAGAGGAACAAGGGTTCCTGCTAGAATGGTTAGAATCTGCCCTGGAGGAGGACCAGCCTGAGAGTATGACACCGCCACCGACAGCAGCCTCCAGCCATGTTAGCCCGGCGGTGTGGAGTGGACAGGAAGCAGGCATCTGAGAGGGCTTTCAGGGAACCTGAACGCTGGCCTTTGTGCCCCACTCGCTCACCTTCATCAGCTGTGGATCGTCCCCCAGCACAGCCCGGGTCACTTGTTGGTAGTACTTGAGAAGGTCATCAGTCAGCGAAGACACCGCGCTGGGCACTGCACGCGGATGGGCAGGAGGTGGTCAGGGTGGAGAGCCCAGCCCTCTCCCAGCCTCCCCTGCGTGCTCTCCCTCACCCCCTTACCCTCCACCCTCCACCCTCCCCGCCAGGAGCCCATGCAGACAGGACTCCCATGGCGCAGCCACCAGCTCTGACCTTGCTGCTCTGCCCGCCTCTGCTCTGTATTCTGCCTCCCACCTGTCCTCCACTAGGCAGATTCCTGCTCCGTCCTAATCCCTCCTGGACCCCTGCCATCAGGGACCCCAGCTGCCCAGACTTGTGTGCCAGCATTCAACACCCCACAACGTGACGGGTTCCAAGACTGGGCTGCTATCTCCAAATCCGAGCCCCCGCAGGACCAGGTATCAGTAAATACTTGTCAGATGAAGAATCAGAGAAATGGGGTGCCCCCCTCACGCCAGCTCCTAAGAAAGGAAAGCTCAGAGCCCATTCCCCATACCACCCCTTACCTGATCCTTGCGGGGCCAGGTTCCCTTTGCCGTCTAGGTAGGAGACATGAACTAGAACCAGAGCAAAGAAAGAGGTGAGCCTGGGGTTTTGCCTGTGGTAGCACCGCCCACCCCTGGGTCCTGCTCCATCCACCAGCCAGCCCATCGCCCCTCCTGTGACGACTCTGTTTCTGTCCCCGCCCCACAGAGGGCCTGGGCAGTCACCTCTCACAGCTGTCTCGGCACAGCCTTTAGGGATGTTGGTGGCCAAGGCCAGCTCTACCAGGTTCACCTCTCGGTCCTCAGGGAAGTACAGCTCACCCTCTCTGGCAGGGCGCAGGGGCAGCGCCTCCTGGGATCCATAACCACACACGGCCTGAGCAGAGAGAGGACCAGAGGGCAGGCTGAATCCAGGGAGGGAAGAGACACTCTATAGATCCTGCAGGGGAGTCTACACTGAGGCAAATCCAAAAGTCCTGAGAAAGGGGAGATGCCCCAGGCCTCAAGCCTATTGCTAGGAATCTGGCCGCAGCACCGAGCACTCGCTGGGTCAGGGAGTAGAACATGGTCCCTCCACCCCGATTTGTATGGGCTCTGAGCCCCACACCACTCTGCTGCTGGTCCTCACACTCACCCAACTTTGAAAACACGACTCTTTTTTTTTAAAGTAGGCTCCATGCCCGATGCGGGGCTCAAACTCACAACCCTGAGATTAGGAGCCACATGCTCTACTGAGCAAGCCAGCCAGGCGCCCCAACACTACTCTCTTCTCAACCTGACCTCCTCCCCTCGAGTCCCTACCCCCCAACAACTACGCAGGACATTTTAACATCCACATTTGTGCCCAGGCTCCTCCCTTACCCAGAATGTCCCCCTCTTCCCCTCTTAGCTGAGTCTAATGCAAGCCTCCCTTCAAAGCCTGCATCGAGTCCCAGCTCTTCCAAGAAGGCTTCCCGAACCTCTGGGCCCCCCAGCACTGTGGCGGCCATGAGCTTCCCTTGTGCGCACGCTGGGTTTTCGTGTCTCCGTGGTGCCAGCCCCGAGCAGGGCACGGAGGTGGGTCGTGCCAGCCGAGGCCTCCACAGCCTGGGATCGACTCACCTCCACGCTGCTCCATCGGAGAGCCCTGTTGAAATCCTCGACGGTCAGCTTCCGCCGTTTGGTGTGTTTCATGAACTGCGAGCTATTCTAAGAGGGAAGGAACAAAGTCAGGGGACAGAGAGAAGGGGGTACAGAGTCCCCCCAGGGGAGAGAGACAGACGGAAGGCAAAAAGGACCCCGAACAGAGACCAAAACGCCTGGACTCCAGCGCTGGTCTTGTGCAAACAGCCCTTGATGTAATATTCCCTCTCTGGGACCCGTTTCTCGCATGCAGAATATGAGCACGACCTTGTGTGGCCTGCCCAGCATGGCTGTCAAGAAGATGGGCACGTGAGACCATGCACAGCCAGCACCGTTCGCCAGGAAGCCCCTCTGGCTCAAAGGGGAACTCTGGAGAGGGCAGGGACGGCCTCCTCCATTGCCTTGCCTCGAAGCCCGAGTAGGGGCCGCACCCATACCTGTGTAATACATCCCTGCAGGAGGGGGCGACCACCGGGAGGGGAGAGCAGGGAGGGTGCAGGGAGGGAAGGGGAGCGGACCTGCGTGGCCTCTCTGAGCCGGTAGCACACGTCCTCTGCGAGCAGGGCCGCCACCTCGTCGCTCAGCTCCAGGCCCGTGCTCTCTGCCATGAGCCGGACCGACTCCCGAGGGATCTCCACAAACCGCCGCTCTTCCCGCTCTGACATGGCTCCGCTGGAGCTGGGAGCCAGGAGAGAAGGCCTAAAAAGCCACCCAGGCCCCCTCGGAGCACAGGAGCCTGCCTCAAGGCCTTCTGAGCCAGGCTCCCTGCTCTTGCTCCAGAAACCCCAAACCAGGCGCCACTGAGGTAAAGTGCAAGAAACAGACGAGCCGGGTCAGACAAGTGTTGCCTGAGAAAGGGCCTGGCCTTGGGAGTTCACGGAACTGGGCCCCAGCCGTGCCCTACCACTTCCTGAGTGAACGTGGCCGAGGTCTGTCAGCCTGAGCCTTGGTGTCCCAACCTGGGGAACACAGGCAATCACCCCCGCCCTCCCTAATTCACGGGCTGCTGTGAAGACGAATGAGCTGGTGCAGGAGGAAGCCAGGGACTAGAACGGTACCCAGATGGACAACGGAAGATGTAACCACGGTCAGTTACAAGTAAAAACGTCATGTCTTCCTCCCCCTGATTCTTGCTACAGCCACTACCTACTGAGTCTTGATGAAAACAGTACTTTCCCCCTTGCTCAAAAGCCTTCAGTCCTTCCCCACAGGTTCTAAAAGAAACTCTCAACTCCCCAGCTTGACATTCTGGGTTTGGTCCCAAATCCCCACAGGTGTTCAAGCTGATCCCTCCTCCCAGGAAGACCAGCCTAGTGTCTTCCCGCCTGCCTTGCGCTCCTCCACCAGTGCTCAGGCTGGTCTGCCTCCCCCTTTACTCCAAGCCCCCACCCTCTTCTCTTTGCTAAAGTGACGCCAGGCTTCCCTGTAAGGTCTTCCTGCTCATATGCCACTGGGGACTGTCAGGCTTTCAGCAGCTGGGCTTTTTGCCCATGTGTCTGGTCTTCCCCAGTCTGGCCACGAGGCCTAAAGGCAGGAACCTGTTCTTCCGTTCACAGGATATGGCAGAGTAAGAATCCAACAAAAACAGTGGCCGATGAATGACTCTGACACAATTAGAAGGCAGGCCCGTAAGGGCCAGAGTGAGGCGTCAGCACCATGGGCAGCAGGGCTCCAGTTCCAGGGTGACCCACCCAGGAGCTGCCCCACTCCTCCTCTCTGGCAAGGCTCACTGGGTCACGAGTGATCTCCAGGTCCCTAGATCCAATGGGCATCCTACCCTGGCCTCCCGTATGCCTCCCAGTGGCTCCACACTGGCTCTGGAATAGAGAAGAGACCTGGTTCCCAGGTCCTGCATGTCCACCGACTTCTGCAACATTTCTCTCCTGTGTTCTGCATTCCCACCATGGCCTCTTTCCATTCCTCCGCAAAACACCTGCTATCAGGACGTTCATACACTGCGCTACTGGAAACACTCTCCTCCTTCACTCCCAATCTCTAGGTCTAGTAGACTCCTAAGAGGCTCCCTCAAGTCTCAGTTCAAATGTCACTTGCTCCGGGAAGTCTCCTCAGACCTCCACAGTGTCCGGGTACTTTGCCTTCAAAGCAATTATCACAGTTTGTAATTACGTATCTGTGTAACTTTGTGATTAACTCCCACCTCCCCTACTAGACAGTAAGCTCCACACCAGCTAGGATCGTCATGCCTGTTTGCTCACCTTTGCATCCCCAGCGTCGGGCACACTGTCAGCACATAATACGCCCGCAATAAACGCTTGCTGCAAAAACGAACAAAAAACAGCTATTTTTTCTAAACACACGCAATGCCTGAGGCACAAAGCTAAGTGCTTTATATGGCTCATACTTCATTTTATCCTCATTAACAATGAAATAAGTATTATATAAGTACTATGTCAATTTCACAGTCAAGGAAATCAAAGCTCTGAGGGATTCATGTTCAGTGACTTGTCCGAGACCACCCAGCGAGCACTAAGTAGGGAGCAGGGACCAACTCTTGTTCCCAATCATCAGGAGTGGCGGGCTGTGTGGGGAACAAGGCCTGCATTCCCAGCCCGAAGACTCGGCGTTGGAGACCCGCCAACGGGTAATTCTGAAGTTTCTGTTTCCCTGTCCGTGAAATGAGAATATGAAGTCCTGCCCACGCGGAAAGCGCGGACAGAGTTTCCCTACTGGATGCCCACATTAAGACCCACAAAGTCCAGGTTCTGACCAAGGTCTCCCTCCACCCCAATCTCCTCTCTGCATCCTCAGAGCCACTAGCCACACTGGGAAAGAGCGTGGGACCTGACCGCCACCGGCCTCGGGGGCGGGCATCCCCCTCACCAAGCCTCGCTTCATCCCCGATCCAGAAGCGGCGGGGTGGGGTGGAAGAGGTCAGGGGTTACCGAACTTGGGTCACGTGGTCAGAGAAGGGGGCGGGCCCCCAGAGGAGCCGGCCCTAAGACCGGTGAGTGCGCGGCCCACAGCGGGACGGAGAGTGCGAGGCCCTGCGAGGGACTGCTCACCTGAGGGCTCCGGGCGCAGCGAAAGTGTCTACCCAGGCGGCGGCGGCGGCGGCGGCGGCGGCGGCGGCGGTGGCGGCGGCGGCGGCAGCGCCCACTCACCCTGCTCACCCTAATTCCCTCTCTCTGAGCCCAGGCCCCACCCTCCAAGAGCACAGCCAATCGGCGAGCGCCTTGCGAAGTTCCCGCCCTCCCGGGGGCTTCCGGCCAAGCGGTTGGCCTCTGTGAAGGGGCTGTAAAACCATCTGGGCGCGATGGGGTCACGTGACGTCGAGGCGTCGGGCTTCTTAAAGCAACAGCTCTTGGGAATCTTTGCGAGTAGGTACCTATGGTTTGGCTTGAAAAGCGTATGGTCAAGAATAGCGTCCTTATTCGTTTAGTCTAGTCTGCTCCTGAGTACGTACGCGACTGCAACGAAGCTTTAAACTTTAATGACTAATCAAAGTTTTCTTTGCCCGCTTGCTGGGGATCAGCTTACCCCTCCATCACCTGCACTTCCCTTTCCCGCCGTAGAGTTGGAGCTCCCGGTGGGTATTCTCTTCCGGACAGAAGGGTCTTCCCACTGGCCCGAACTCAACGTGCAAGCTGCAGACGCCAGGGCCATGCTCACTCGGACACCCCACCTCCTATCTTTTTCATTCCTGTTCCTACTGAACAGGAGCCCAAACATAAGCCCTCACCTGCCTCGCAGACTTCCTTGACCGTTCCCCCTGCACGCACTTTCCCGAACTTGCGCAGTTCTCAGTTCAGAACCAAGTGGGGTTAGTGAGTCTAGTATTTGGAGTCAGACTAACCTGGGTCCAAATTCTGCCACCAATTTGGGGCAAATTACCTAACCACATTTTCGCCCAACTACAAAATGGGGTAGTAATACCCACCTCACCGGACTACTGTAGATTAAATGAGATCATGTCTATGAAAGCACTCGACAGAGTTGTGGACGGACCTTCTTTCACATAACAGGGGGCAGACAATGAATCAATTCCTTTACGTTCATCCAAGATGAGGTAGTTGGCAACAGTCTGTTCATTACAGAGAGGAGTATTCCACAAGGGAGCGTGACTGTATACATTCTAGACCTTCCTCCCTCTCTGGGTTAGATGCTGCTGCCTCCAGAAAAGATCCTCCCAGGACAGAGCTGGGAAAGCCAGATGGAGGTGACTCAGGTTGCCATGGCAACACCCCCTAAGCAGCCCATGACCCTGCTGAGTTTCTTCCAGTTACATTCAGAATGACACTAGCAGTAGTTTTCAGTACTGTGCTTCAATGCTCCAGTGTCTGCCCACCTCTGCATAAAGGGAAGGGGCAGGGACTCCTCTGACGTCCTGAGTCTGAAGTCAGCTTAGCAAGATCTGGGCTCCTAGCTCATCTCCTGGCTGAAGTGTTTAATTAGTCTGGAGAGCCACTGGCAACCTTGGAGGCAGGAGACAATGGTGGAAGGCCCTGTGGCCTGTGGGACATACTGACACTGTATTCAAGCTATCTGGGGCCCATCTGCCCCCAAGCTCAGGTGTAGGCAGGGGTTAAGGGAAGCAGTAGTGAGACCCACATGGCCACAGGTAAGAAAGCTGGGTCCACTCACTCCCCAGCCACCTACTGCCTGGCAAAGAGAGCTAATGAAGGCTTTGGTGCCAGATGGACAGTTTAAAAACAAAACAAAAGCCCTACCACTCAATAGAGCTGTGTGACTGTACGCATTCTAGTTGAGGTGTCTCACCTGTTTTGTCAGCCTTCAAGTGGAGTAACAGACAAGACTCCATGGAACCCTTGTGAACAATCCCGTAGTGTGTCAAAGACTTAGCATTAGCAGGCAGATATTCCTGTTACCTGTGACCTTTCTAAGAGGCCATAACTTTCAGTTACAAAACCTTAGAAGAATCCTGGAGACCATCTCCAGGCCATCCGCACTTGCTCCCTTTCCCCGACAGCACGTGCCTTCCTGATGGGTACCACCCCCCACATCCTCACCACCATCTTCGTGCCCAGGTTCCACGAGCAGCTTCCGTCCATCAGTTGCTTCCTTTCTAGGCCCGTGTTACTTCCAGGTTCTCCGCAACACAATTTACAGATGGGTGGCTCCCTCTGAGAACTTGAGAGGAATTTTGCTCTTGGTGACACACATGGTGTTTACAGCTTAGGGGGAGTCCCTACAACCCGGGTGATCCACTCAGAGTACAACAAAGTGGTAGCACAACTATAATGTGGTTTCCGTGGGAAAATTCACTGCAAATCCAGCCCAGAAACTGTCCCAGATTCAACAAACTTGGAAAACGTGGCCCAGTCCCAAGAGCTGGAGACAGAAAAATTAAACAGAAAGGGATGCATGTGAATCCACAGTTATCAGATATCAAGAAGATAACAAACTTGGGGCACCTGGGCGACTCGGCAGGTTAAAACTCTGCCTTCCGATCAGGTCATGATCTCAGGGTCCTGGGAGACCCCTGATCAGCGGGGAGCCTGCTTCCCCACCCCACCCCACCCCCGGCCTGCTACTCTGCCTACTTGTGATCTCTTTGTCAAATAAATAAATAAAATCTTTTTTTTTTTAAGATTTATTTATTTCACAGACAGAAATTACAAGTAGACAGAGTAGCAGGCTGGGAGAGAGGAGGAAGCAGGCTCCCTGCCGAGCAGAGAGCCCGATGGCCGAGCTCGATCCCCAGACCCTGGGATCATGACCTGAGCCGAAGGCAGAGTCTTAACCCACTGAGCCACCCAGGCACCCCAATAAATAAAATCTTAAAAAATAAAAAAAGAGGGCCCCTGGGTGGCTCAGTGGGTTAAAGCCTCTGCCTTCGGCTCACATCATGATCCCAGGGTCCTGGGATTGAGCCCCGCATTGGGCTCTCTGCTTGGCGGGGAGCCTGCTTCCTCCTCTCTTCCTGCCTCTCTGCCTACTTGTGATCTGTCAGATAAATAAATAAATAAAATCTTAAAGGGGAAAAAAAAATCTTTACATAATAATGAGGGGCACCTGGCTGGCTCAGTCAGTGGGGCAGGTAGCTCTTGATCTCAGAGTCATGAGTTCAATCCCCACCCTGGGTGTAGAGATTACTTAAAAGAGGAACCGGTTAGGGGAGCCTGGGTGGCACAGAGAAGGGGTCCACATTCCGTGTTGGCCCAGGTTGTCATCTCAGGGTCATGAGATGGGGCCCCGCATCAGGTTCTGTGCTCAGTGAGCTGTCTGCTGAGATTCTCTCTTCCTCTCCCCTTCCCACTCATGCTCTCTAAAATAAATAGATCAATCTTAAAAACACAGAGAGAGGGCACCTGGGTGGCTCCGTCAGTTGAGGATCTGCCCTCGGCTCAGGTCATGACCCCAGGGTCCTGGGATCCAGCCCCACATTAGAGCTCCCCACTCAGTGGGAAGCCTGTTTCTCCCTCTGCCTCTACCTGCTTCCATTTGTGGGCTCTCTCTGTCAAATAAATAAAAATCTTAAAAAAGAGAAAGAAATAAAGGTTATAAAAAGGAATGGGAGACAGTAACAAAACGTTTTGTGACACACTGTAGAGGTATGAATGGAAAAGCCTCCATCTATCTGTCCAGGAGTGGTGAAGGCAAGGATAAAGAAACCACATTTAAGTGTCATTTTCTTACCATGTTCCAGACACTATTCTGGATGCTTCTTATGGGGGTCTCTGGACCTTGGCATGATTGACATTTGGAACCAGGTAATTCTTTGTTGGGGAGCGGGGTCCTAGACACTGAAGGATGCTATGCAGCACCCCTGGCCTCTTCCCACTAGAAGGCAGTAGTACCATCCATAGTTGTTACAGCCCAAATAAATGTCATTGCCAAATGTCCCCAGGGTGCAAAAATCACCCCAGCTCAGAATCACTGCTTTAATGCATTAGGGCACAATCATCACAATTAACAGTTGAGGGCCTATCCAGGGCCAGACGCCGTGCAAGCCACTTGCACGTGTAAGCTCACACCAGCAGCAACCACCCAGAGAGGGATGTAGTAGGCCCTTTTCTCACGAGAAAACATAAGGTCACCCAGCTAGAACTGAAACCCAGTTTTACACCAACCCAAATACCACGCTTTCTATGACACAATTCTGCTTCCCAAGGAAGTAAAAGAAAGCTGAAAAAGAAGAAAAAGGGAGGAGGGGGAGAAGAATGATTGAGGTTTGCTGGATCGGCAGGCAGCCAGGAGACAGGATGGGAGAGGGCACACCAAGGCAGAGGAATTATATGACAAAAGCAGAGTGTGGGCATCCTGGGAGGGAAGGCGGCATATCTGTTTAGTCTTC